TCAATTCAATAACCAAATGCACTTGGCCAAATCACCCTGCTCTCCCCTCTTGTTTCCTCCCTGCCCCTCCCATTAGACCTTCATCCTTCCATATGCTGTATCTGTTACGTTCAATAAGTCATCTTGTTCATTTCAATATGTGTGTAGGAATCTCAGTGCCCGTGCGCATACACAGCTTAGTGTGTGTGTTGTGTGACTCATACTCATGTAATCCTGTTAAGTGCCTTTTTGTGCATGTAAGTGCATGAATTATATAATTGCATGTCTCCTGCAAACCACAACCTGTTGCCCCTTCTGCCACAGAACCAGAAACCTTGGCTTTGGGCAGTAGGTCACCCCACATCTGTGCAGTCGACCCTGGGTACAATCTTATGGAGAAACAGGGTCATGGAATGAAAGCCCCTGTTTCCCAACCTTGAGGGCTCATAACCAAAACCTGATAAGCTGATAAGAACAGGCGGTAACGTCTCAGTCAAACTCAAGCATTGCTCATTCAACTCTAACCATGGTATGAAAGGACCTTGTCACAGTGTGTTGGCATGACTCCTCACTCCTACTGACAATACCTTTTCAAACAATCTCTCTGTGGGCTCAATAGGAATTACTTAGGGAAACCAAACCCTTCCATCTCTGATAGGGATTAAATATCTATCTATCTTAATATTAATTATAGCTACCACTACAGTATCATTGGTTTGTCTTAAATGATACATGATAACACAGTAGATACCACTTTGAAGGACGGTTAATAAGAACACTGTTTTTGGCCAACTTCACTTGGCCCGCTGTTGTTGTGACCCTTGAAAGGATTGTAGGGATTATGCCATGTTGTTCAATACACCTCCCCAGGGGAAACTCATACTGCTTGAACTTTTCCACAATGACCCTCTCCACATACAAGCCTCCCATGACCTTCAACCTCTGACCTTGCTTGGCGGCCTGCAGAAGAGTGGAAGTCATATCACACTTCTTAAGATAAGCATCTTGCCTTCAGACCCTCAACTCTGTGGGTCTAGTCTAACAAAGTCTGGTCAGTATTAACATGTTTTACCATCAGAGAGAGATGAAGAGAGAGTTTTTTTTTCCAGGTAAAACCCAAAACAAACCACTAATCCCTTTGGAAAAGTGGAAGGAAATTAGATTTTCACCCCACATATCAGCTGAGCTTGTGTCCACATAGAGGGGAGCTAAATCGTCACAAGGTACAATTCACCACTAGCCTAAACTCAAATATAATCCAAACAGTTACAACCATAAATCTAGCTTTCTCTGTAAAACTAACCAACAGTAAAGTCAAGGTGATGTTCTGGTCCTTCCGTCTTCTGCTAAACTATGTCTCCGATGTCTCAAGTTAAGACTTGTCTTTCCACAAGCAGTGGCCTTCTGTGTGTTCCTCTCCCTCCACCCTCCTGACTGTGTTTAGCCTTCAGGCCTGCGTTGTCTGACTCCACAACACTAATGGATACGGACGTCTGGCAGCACTACAGATTTGTAAGTGCTGATAACGCGTGTGCTTCGTTAAAAAGATTACATTAGAAATAAAGTACACATGATTGGGTTAGAGCGAGGAACAACATATGATGATGAAGCCCATACACAATGGACTGTGAGCCACCATGCCTGGAAACACAGCTAATTCACATTAATCATGAAATATACTGCGTTAGTTATCTAAATGATATTTTAGTATTGGAGTTCTGGTTCCTTATATCTTGATCGTGGATGAATCATCTCTCCTTCTACCACACTTCTCTCTCAGACCACAAGTTGAATCAAGCTGCATTAAAAGATCATCCTCAATGAAAGAGTTTTTTTTTTTTTTTTTTTTTTTTTTTTTTTTACAGCAGAGGGGCAGTCTCTGCAACATCAATATGTTGTGTCCACTTCTGGTTATCATATAACCTTTTCTGTCTGTGGTATTTTCCCTGGTTCTTTCAAAGACGGGCACACACTGGGCAATTTATTAATATAGTGTATTGCATTAGCTCATACTACATGTTTTAATCACTCCGCAGGGCCAAAGTATACGTCTACGATTTCCACTTGAAAAAGGAAATCAGTTACTTTTTACATATTACTCATTCCTCAACAGAAAAAGTAAATACATAACCTGTTACATTACTTTTACTACTCTGTCAACTACACCTTCAGAGGCAGTGAAACTGCCACTTTTAACTATCCAATCACATCTGAAGGATTTGATTCAAACTAAACCCTGTCCACATATTTCATTTCACTCTGATAGACAAAACGCTCTGTTTCAGTGTCATTTCAAACAACTCCAAATCTTCCACACCCGTGTTTCATTTTCTGTATTTAACACATGTACAAAAAAGAAGACACTGTCGTTTAACAAGTGCCATGTCTATAGGTTACCGTTTTAATGTATTTACTGACTAACAGCTAATGTTAGGTTAGCCCAATGGACTCTTGTGCGTCAGAAGTCCCGTCTTCATAGTGAAGCTTTGGGGTTCACAGACACCCCGACTCTGAGCAAAACCGGTGTCTAAGAAGACATGTTGAAGGAAAAACAGTACTTTGGACTTACTGGGAGTCTCTTAGCTGCCTAACCACACTTCAGCCCCTGCACCAAGCTAACATGTTCTGCAGCAGTCTGAACGCAGAGAAGCCAAACTGATATTAACCCTTTTTCTAACTCGCTGTAAGACATCGCACAAGGTTATCCCCAAATTGGTATTGGACATGTGATTAATTAATGCATTCAAATTCAAAGCCCTAACACCACTTGTTACAGATGGAGATGTTGTATAACAAAGGGATGTGCACAAAGCTTGTTCATAATTTTTGTCCTTATATTCTAACAGGCTGACACGTTGATAGAAAAAAAAAAAAAAAAAACTTTATGCAATTCTACTTTGAACAGAAAGCAAAAAAAATAGAATATGGACCTGCACAAGGCTGGGAAGACGCCAGCAACATGGTCTGTATGTTTTAAGGCAAAGCTCAGTTTTATTTATATCATAGCAGTCTTAGTAAGACTGGGACCCTCAGTAAGACTACAAAAGACTACATGTAAAATGTTTCACCAGTAATATTAAATCAAGTTCACTACAGCTTTTAACAGATCCCTTGGTGGCAGCCATGTGGGAAATCAGATCATGGAAATACCTAAACAAAGTTTCTGACATGCCAGAGGTCCATGTGGTCATCAAACAGCCACTAAAACTGAACATCAAACCACAGTTGATATGGTGGAAATTTGGCCTAATTCCAATATCAACAGAGAGAAGAATTCTGGGTTACAATCAGATTTAAGCTCTACAGTGTCTGCTCAATGTAAGCAGTTTCATTGTTTTCTACAAGGTCTTTACATAAAAGACTTTTAACAGCTCAAATCCTCCAGTGTCATTTCAACTCAGAAACTCCAGACAAAACCCTAAGTAATTGCAAAAAAATATATGTAGCACAAATCTACATAAGTTTTACTATCTGTTTTATTCATTACTTGCTCCTTCAAGTAGCCCCATGGGCTAAACTGAAATCCCTCACAGGGCAAACAGGATCGTGGGAGAGGCACAAAAGACTCCCTTTAGCCTGAGACTTGCTCTTTCTTCACCACTGTGATAACAACATCCTTCAAACCACTGCTCCAACAGACTTCATGGCTGATCAACAGACTTCTTTTATTGTCATGTCACAAAAGCGTTGATTTAATCTGTGAGGCATCAGGTCATTGGAATGAGCAGTGACTGCAGTCATATGGAATTTGTGATTTGAAGTGTGATACCCACAGGGTGCAATGATATAAAAGAAATTCAGAGCCCTGTTCAGAGATATGACCTCCTTGTAAACCCTCAACACAGAGAGAGTGTGGTCTTTGTATCTTTGGATGGGATGAGTCGGTGAAGACAATGAGACAACCTTTGGAGTGGCATTTAGGTCGATGGGTTAACAATGTCTATAGTGTCGCACTGAGATGATCCGATTATGTGACGGACAATGTGGATGTCCAGTGTGTTGCACTGTCCGTACAGTGCTGGACAGCGAGTATGTGCTCACATTGACTCTATTCAGTCCACGATGACCCTGGGCGGTGCACCCCATCATTCAACTCTACTGCCTCTGCATAGAAGTTCATCATAAACTTGCCCAGTGTTTAGATAGGGTCATCCCACAGCCATTTGCTAAATAGCTGAAAAATAAATCTCCGAACAAGTGGATTCATTGTCTTGTTAAAAGAATAGATGAGTTTTTCAGGAATTCAATTTTTTCTTACTAACCAATGTAAAACAATCTCATGAATGCCTTATTTATATCTTGTTCTCAGCATTAAACATTCCGAACTTAATAACCTATCTTTTATGGGAAAGTTCGCCAAAAGGGGCATAGCGACATCCATCTCTGAGATTTCTGCTGTCGCCTCAATACAATGAAGGAGAATACGATTTCATTTAGGGTGCTCAAATCATTAAAAATGACATTTGTAAAACTCATCAGCAATGTGATTCCTCAGACATAATGTCCTTGTTGCTCTATAATACACACACCTCCCTGTGAGTTGTTTGTCAGTTATATTGCACCCTTATTTTTCTTGTATGTTGGAGTGCAATTGACAGCCAAATGCTTGTGGGTGTGTGATGTGTTCAAACTCTGAAGCTTAAAGAGACTGGTTGACATTCTTCAGAAATATACTTTGCTTTCTTGCAAAGTGTTGGATGAAAAAAAAAAACACTCTAATATGAAGCTACAACCGGGAGCTATCCTACCTGTGTCCAAAGCTAGCACATCCATGTCGCTGCAGGGGTCCGCATGACGCAACATTCATCACCTGCCTATGTCTTAGCGTACAGCCTAGAACTGAGGTGTACAAGCCGGAAGTGTGAAATTGTGTGCAGAGCGGACACCCAATGTAGAATAAGCAGAACCAAAGAGACGTCTGTTTTGTAAATGTATGAGGGCCTTAATTTGGCAGCTACATAGAAGTACACTGTGATTTAATGTACATTTCACTATGAGCCTTGGGGAGCTAATCGTCTTACCTTGACAAACTGTGTCACTGACAGACGTGCAGGCCTGTAACTCATCCCCTTCATCACAGAGGGTGCAGGGGATGCAGGGCTCTCGAGAACTTTCCTGGTCTGAGTACGTGTCCCCGATGCACTCCTCACACACAGTGTCATGGTCAGGCTCGCAGCTGAGCAGCATGCCCTGGCCTTCAGGACATTTGGTGCAGGGTTGGCACCGCTGAGAGATTTCATTCAGGTAGTAGCCGTAGTTGCACACACAGGTGGCGTCGTTGGAGTCCGTGCAGGGCGTCTCCATGCGGAGTAGACCTGTGCATTGTGTGCACGGCTGGCATTTCTCCGTGTGACTCAGGTTTTCTGAGAAAGTTTCACCTAAAAGAAGAGGGATGAAAATTGTTATTGGACTTTTTATCCGCAAGACAGCTGATTTCTAGGCAGTTGCTAGCTGCATGCACTTTGGCCACCAAAGTTGTGAATTTTCCAATTTTAGACAAAATGGTCTTCCAGTTTTTTCCCTCCATTTACATTTCTCAAGATACTTTTGCACATGCTCTCATCCTTGTGCATTTTGTAAGTGACTTTGTTTTCTGAGGGGTCAGTCAGTTCTGTCTCAGCTGCTCTTGTGGGGGAATCTTGAAGAAAAATCACATTCTGATCTCCATTCACTGGCTACAAGTCAAAGACGGAATTGACTCTAAAGCTTTTTTTATTTGTTTTCAAAGCTGACCATGATTTGATGCCACATTACATTTCTGACCTCTACTGTTCAAATTCCACCTCCAGGCTGCTTCAATCTTCTGCCTGAATAGCACAGCTAAGACCAAAGGCCAAGTTTCTGTATCTGTAATCCTGTATACGCATTTTTAAAGACCGGACTCTTTACTTTGAGCTACTGTGTACACATTTCTGAGTCTTAAAGCTGAACTTTTAAATGTACAAAATGTAAATTCTTTCTCTTAAACCAAACCCACTGTTTCATTTGTTTCAGCTGCTAAACATGACAACTGTCTTCATGTGCTGGCTGAGAGACACCATCATATGTATGAGGAGAAAAAAAAGGAAGGCGGCCACAACAGCCATGTCAGCGTTACAGGTAAGAAGAAAAGAGTAAGAGCAGAGGGTCAACAGGCAAAACAAGATATGTAACTGCATGAATGTCACTTTGGACTGAAAAGCACCTAAAAAATATACATAAACAATACCAACATCTTTTACACATTGATTTGAAAACAGTTTTCAGGCTGTATTTAAAGGTCTTTTTGTACATACATACATACATACATACATACATACATCACATGTTTCATAAATCGTTTGTATACATGCATGAGTTCCTAGGACAGATATGTCTGCAGAGGACACAATCAATATTGCATGTTTTATGGAATTGTATTTCAGCTGGATAGAGAACTGGGAAACACACTAAATTATGCAACAGACCCATTTGTAAGAGCAGCTTGTGTGTGTGTGTGTGTGTGTGTGTGTGTGTGTGCGCGCGCGCGCGTGCGTGCGTGTGTGTGTGTGCATGTTTGTGAGAGAGAGATAGGCAGATAGGGAGCTGGGGGATAGACTGTGAAAGCACAACCTCAAAATCTCTGTCATGTCTAAATTGTTGACACACAAATTCTTTCCAACACACTTGTTTTATTTATCTTGAGTTGAGGTGATGTAAAGTAGGGTTGAAACAATTAATCGATTAATCAATTAGACGACTGACAGAAAGTCAAGTGTTCCAGCTTGTGAGGATTTGCAGCTTTTGTCAGCTGTATGTGATGATAACCTTCATATCTTTTGTCATGAAGCGTTCAAATGGACAGCAAAAACAATCTGATACCACAATCTTGTGTGTTAAGAGACTGTAATGGGCATTTTTTCAGTACTTTCTTACATTTTATAAACCACACAATTAATTGATTAATTGAAACAATACTTAGTAAGGTTATTGTTAGCTGCAGCCCTAATGTAAAACTGCTCTGAGGAAGACATGGAATCTTTGTTGCTGCACCTGATTGAAACCTCTTATTCAGATCTCATCTCTTCCTGATCTTCAGTTGTTCTGTCTGTCGGCCGATGGTTAAGGAGTTTCCATCATCTACACTAAACTACTGCTGCAACTATGTCATAAAATAGAGGAAAATGCCCATTGCAATTTTCTAAAGCCCGAGGTGATGTCTTTAGATTTCTCATTCTGTCCGACAAACAGCCCAAACCTAAAGATATTCAAAGAAAATCAACAAATAATTCACATTTGAGGAGCTGAAACCAGGGAATCTTTGGTATTTGGGCTTAGACCATGAATCTATTACCAAAATTACTGTAAATTACTTTTTATGTCGGCTCTAAACTGAACTAAATTAAACAATCATTTGGGATTTGGGCTTAAAAACGTCTTAAATCGATTATCAAAATTATTGTAAATTATTTTAATTTATACAAAATCTAACAAAGCTTAGCTAAACTTTGTGTGGTAGAAGACTGGAAGCTTTTGGCATGCAGTCTCCATGAAGACCTTTTATTGCTCAGCGACTCATAGCATATCGAGTTTTCGGTCTGCGTCACAAGCCCACCAACCACGGCGAACGCTCTGCTGATGCAGAGATTCAAACAGAGATGAGGAGCGATGGACACTGAGATAGTGAAACAGAGACAGATGGATGGATGAAAAGAAAACAGAGACCAAGTCATTTGAGAAGATGAATCAATTCTGTGTTTAACTGGGAGTGTCGAAGGTGGGATCTTCACATTTTTGTTTAATTATGTCTTCAGAAGTAGACACTATCGTCCCTCACTCTTACGTGGGCAAGTTAGTGTCCAGTCATATACTGTTACCCCCACCCCTCCGCCCTTCCACCCCTAACCCCATTATCTCCTAGCTCCCTTGAAACAGACGCACACACTCCGACTGCCCTCACCCCCACTCCCCATGAGTGCTCTCAGAGCCATTATCATAATGCCATGCATCAATAATGCAAGTCAATACATTAATAACGCTAGCCTGCAGCATGGAGGGCGGGGGTTGTGGAAGGGGGAGGTGACGGGGGCGGAGGGAGGAGTGGGGGGTGCATACGGTCTTCAGCGTGTCATAACAGTACTTTCGCCTCTGGTCTAACATTCAATCCTCTGCTTTGTTTTCAACACCCATAAAAGGACTCCTGAGTTTATCCGCTCTGGCTATTCCACGGAGCAGGGTGTGTGTGTATGAGTGTATGTGTCTGTGCATGTGGGGAGTTTTCTGTGACTGCTTGTGTGTGTGCGTGTGTGTGTGTGTGTGTGTGCGCTTAATGTGTGTTTTCCCGTACATGTGGGTGTATGTGTGAAAGAATGAACCATTAGCTGCTGGCTGAGACGTTCGCCTTGTCTCCATTCCAGCTGTGCAGCTGTACTTGCTCTGTTTCATCTCAACTCATCTGTTCATTCATCCAAACTCCTTCGTGTGTTTCAGTTGGCCGTGCTGTTTATCACATCAGCCAGGCCCCTCTTAACTATCTGTGCAAAGTCTGTTTCTTGTAAATGGATAATTGCACACATTAGACACAATCAACTGTGGGCGATACACTTAAAACAATACATGCAAAGACATATGAGGAGTGGGAGTTGATGTTGAAAGAAAGATTAGAGAGAGGGATAGTCAGGAATAAACTGTAGAGGTTAGTTTCTGTCAAATGAGTTTCTGTCAACACCTCAAGTGAAACAACTTACACAGGCCACAAAAACAAAGCAATACTTAGCGTAGGTGCTAAAACAACATTCTTTGGGTCAAAGATGCAGGAAATGGAGTCCTTAAAATCTCCAGTACAGCTGTCAAGGTTTCTATTCTCACACAGCAAATATGCAGTTTTCAATGTTTTTCAATTCAATCAACACAAGCAGGCTTCTCATCTCTGGCCAATACGCTGTGGACTTTGTCAGCTGAAACGCCAACCATCTCTAGAAGCTGTAGCAAATTAGTATGAGCTGATGCTAACATTCAGTTGGTTCATAGTTATCTCCAGCTGACTTTTTAATTTTTAATTTCCACTTTTTAAGTCGATGATACATGTAGAAGACATGGGAATAAAATCACAGCATTGTTCTTGTTTTGCAGTGTAAAGCAAGTTAGACCTAGTATTATAAGTAGATTATGTTAAGGAAAAATATAAAATCAGGTTGTTATGTCTTACATAAAGCCATGTATAGCTGCTTAGCTTACATACGTCTCTCTTGCTACAGCCCGTGCACCGCTTCAATGTGAAATCCAGAGTTTGACAGACTTGCCGTGCCTATAGTTGCGGTTGCTGAGCTGTGACAGGACCACCACTGTCTCTGGGCGGGGTTCAGCGGCTGGTTAACTTACAGGTAGGAGGCTAAACCCACAACCCGACACTGGCTGAGACTTCAAAACATGTTGCTGTTAAAACACTTCAGTTCAGCTCTATCAGCCTGCATTACAGATCTAATCAATATTCGATGTGTTCTTAAAATATCATTGTGATGTTATCTGATGAACAGCTGATCTAGTTTGCATTACTGTTTTTCCATGAGTCACTGCAGAGCCTGTCTGGCCTCTTGACAGTTCTGAGAGCCTGTCACTTTCTGTGTTTGTTCATGTCTGAGTGGAACAAGCACTGTGAGCGTGAAAATTATCACCCCGAAAACCTCCACGTTGTGCAACAGAGAGCAGCAACCTCAGAGACACAACATATAAAAGTCATTTTGGGCCTAAAATATGAAGTTTTTATACAAATAGAACAATTTATGATGAGTAGTCCGGGGCGTACAAGGCAAGAAAGTATTATAAAGTTGTAACTCTTGATCTGAGAATCACTTAAAAAAGCATATATCATTCCAAAGAAGACCCACAGAAATACAAATAAATCATTTTCTCCATTTCCACATTCTCTGTGACTTCTCTCATGACCTGTAAGGTCTGAATCATTTGCTGAGTGTGGGCGTCCTTGCCTCATAGCTTGCCATCCTTCACTGACCCAGGGAGGTTTACAACTACTTCCTGGCCCAGGCGCAGGATAGTCAGGGAGTTCATACAGACAGCAAGGAAAACTCTGGGAACTGTGAAGGAACTGGCTCAGGACCAACCCTGGCCTCTGCAGGCTGAAGCTGACCTTTGATCTCACATGACTTATAACAGACCTTTATATGTTCATTTATTTTCCCTCTCAAGCAGATATTATCCTCATGCAGAGGACCTTAAATATCCTTTTGAGCTCTCAGACACCAGTCTTGTGTACCAAATCTAAATCTTAATCACTGTGACATAACAACTTGTCTGATGCTCTAAATATCTTCCAATACAGTTTTTCTTTTTCTGCAACAACATTTGGAACCGGCTCCACTCTTGTATCTTCTCAATATCACTGTCCTCATAAAGTCTCTCACTCCAACACAGCTTCTCTCCCTACATGGTAAGGGCCATGAGGAGGGCAGGAACGCTGGAGCACAGTTAAGTCTGGCATCCAGTTTACTTCCTAACATGCAGTTGAATCAGCCGTGTGCTTTACGTTTATACTACATTCTGTGTATTTTTCCATGAGTTTATCAGTCATTGACACATGTTGCACAGCTCTTTGATAATAATGATAATGTAGAGCTTAAACTGCTTCAAATGCCCTGATGTGTACCCATAGTTATTCTTCAAAAGTAACCTTTCCTCTGATCCACAATGATGTTGAGGACTATTGTGTTGGGTAATCTAAAGAACTGTGGTGTGACTGTAGGGATGGCAGTCCATCACTTTGGTCCAGATATTTGCTGAAATATCTACACAGGAATTACGTGGATTGCTATGACCTGTGGTACTGATATCCCAGGCCCCCAGAGGATGTGTCCTAATGACTTTGCTGAACCTCTGACTTTTTATCAAACGCCACCAACAGGTCAAAGATTGTACTTATCGGTTACACTTCATTTGGATAGTCCGAGAGTTTACAGAGTATACGTAATATTTCACTTTGTGGAACTTTCTAATGCTCAGCTAGTGTTCAACAATGTATTATTCAACCAACGTATGTTAGGATTTGGCGCTATATGAATAAAACGGAATTACATTGAACAACATCAGTTTAGCTAAGCGGCTAGTAGCGAGTTAAAGGTGCAGCTCCTGTGCACCAGTTAAGCCAAAGGCAGTAGTGGTTAATATATTATCATACCACTATAACCAGTCCAGCTTTAGACTGAGGTACGACAACCTATCTAATATGCATTCAGAGATGGAGATGCATAAATAAATAAATGTAAAAATACAGAAATAGCAATTTTCATTACCAAAATATATTTATTTTGCATTTATTTATGTATTTAATTATTTATTTCTGTACTTATTTTCTTATTATTTATTTATACTTATGTCATTTTTATCCTTCATATGAGAACTAAGTGAAAGTGTGATTAATAAATTGCTATTAGACAAAACTGTAGCATCTTGAAACTATTAATGTCATACAAGACTGTTTGGACAAAAACCACATAAATCATCATTGTCATGTCCAGATTTACTGTTTTATAGGCCACCAACCCAGTGTTGGATCCTAATTCAAATTATGCAGAAACAGTCATTTAAATCATGATGTAATTCACGCCCCTGCATACTTACTGTGCCTCACAGAGTCTAAAGACATTCAGTTTGAACTGTGTGTCTTCTCCAGTGACAGTAAGTACAGTAGTGGATTTGTAAGTGGAGGTCGTAATTTACAGGGACAACGTCACAGTGGCAGCAATATAACATTTCTTGTCTCAAATGAAACACTAAATCACTATCACAGGTCATCGGAGTCAGAGCAGTGAATATGTGACGTGTGTGTGTGTGTGTGTGTGTGTGTGTGTGTGTATGTATGTGTGTGTGTGTGTGTGTGTGTGTGTGTGTGTCATTGTCTCTGCATTAATGCATGTGTCCAACACTGTGTTGTCATTGATGTTCAGGTGCACACGTGTGCTTTTGTGTATTTCTACAGTTATCTTTGAACTCATGCGCCTTACAAATTGCATGTGTGTATGTACATGACAGTCATACAGCTGTTTCTTTGTATTACTCACTGTCAAGGCAAGGGTCACAGACAGTCTGTGTGACTCCACATGGTCTGGTGACCCCCTCTCCGGGCTGACACTGAATGCAGCATTCCCCGCTGGCTGTATACTGGCCCGACAAACAATCCTCTTTATTGGCCAGAGCTCCAACCTGCCAATCACCGGAGAGATCAGTCAAAGTGGGACAAGCCAAACACATTCACATTCAGATTATTAGTGCATAAACACACAAAATTGACTTTAGTTATTGTCTTCAAAGAACTAAACTTTATTGATTGTTTTAATCAAAGCAACATTTAGCATTTTGCAGTGAGAGCAGTTCATCCAAAGAGTGTTGTTTCTTCATTTAAATCATTTCTAGAGGCCCGAAAGAAGTAAAAACGTCCAGTATTTCACAAAATAGACAGATAAAATATACAGCACTCACTCTTTTTTTTCCTCATTCCTTTAATCATCTTGCTCCCACTTAGATTTATTTTGGAACCACTAAACCAGTGGTTGCCAGCCTCAGGTCAGGACCCTGGCTGCAAGATAATCTGAAGGCCTATGAGATGACTAATGGGATAGGAAAGAAGAAATTGCAGATTTCGTCAAGACAAAATTGTCCATTTTTCCAAGTTATTTCTCCATTTTTCTGTGTTCTTGTAAATCGCAGATGGTGTTTCCTTATCAGGCCTTGAATCAAACAACCTAAGGAGCTAAAATCACTCTTTGGCTGAACTGCTCACAAGCCAGACACACACGGGACCTGTAATGTAAGGTCTCAAAGAGACATTTCTTTGTTTTAAAGGAACACAAGCCAAAGAGTCTGAGTGGCCTTAACTTTAACCTGACCCCACACACTTACCTCAGCCTTAATCTAATTTGTAATTCTTAAACTGCATCTAATATATACAATTTTCAAAGTACAAGCCCCATTTTAAGTCGCAGATACCTTAATTAAAGTAAACAAAATCACACACCCATACCGGGAACAGTTGGATTATATGGCCTCTGCATTCTTCAAACAGTAACCTGTCGAGTCCTTTATCTTAGCCGATGACAGGTGAAAATGTCTGTGCGTGCCTCTGCATATGCAAGTGCAAATGCGTGACAGTTCATACACGCTTACACACTCAAGTCCGACCATGAGACCTTTAAGTTCGCATGGCCTTTTACATTGTATCATTGTAACCTGAATGTTTCTCGCATCGTTCTCACACCAGGTCTCTCTATCTTTTGCATACCTCAAACTCCAAAGCAAACCTTGATAAAAGCAGTAATAGCCAAAAGGTCTGTCTTTCCCTCCAGATACACGAGGAGTGATTCTTTTTTTGGGCCATTGTTTTTAGGATATTATGCTTTTCTGTTGATGTACAGTATCTCTCAATGGTTGACAGACAAACTGCAGATCAGAAGGCTATGAGGAATGGGATTTTAAAGTTACCTCATGACCAACATGTGAGTCGCTTTGCTCTTTACTAAATTAAATATTGCTCGACCATACACTTCTTAACATATTTAAAGGGCGTGTGTCTGTCTGTGTGTGTGTGTGTGTGTGTGTGTGTGTGTGTGTGTGTATATATGTGTGTGTGTATTGAGGGTTGTGTTCATGTAAGGGAGGTACAATTAACGTAAATCGTCAGGGTTCAGGTGTGTGTGGAATGCTGCTGACAGGAGAGAGGAGGTCTACAAAACATCAAGTGTCCCCTCTGGCAGCTCTGAGTCAGCTGGAAGATTGTGTGTGTGTGTGTGTGTGTGTGTGTGTGTGTGTGTGTGTGTGTGTGTGTGTGTGTGTGTGTGTGTGTGTGTGTGTTCTTGCTCATGATGGTGTCACAGCCCATTCACCTTCAGGTCTCTGGTATTCATTATCTCTGCTGTTTATGTTCAAGAATGCATCTTTGGCTTTGTGTGGAAACTTCTGAGTTGAAATGTTTCACGCAACACGCCTGATAACATCTGAACATTTTCCTGAAATTGGGAAGACTTTTGCCAAACAACGTCACTTCACATTAGGCAACTCAAGATGACAATGTCCAAAAAAACCCCAAAAAAACAAACATCTCTGTTACCCTGAGGAAATGTTGTAAAGCCAATCTTGAGATTTTTATGTTTTAATTTGAATGAATTAATCCTTTTGTGTTGTTATAGATTCTTTGGTCTTAACTAAGAACAACCCCAACTGAATATGCACACAAATGGTTCTCATATTTCTTCAGAGGTTCACAGTCCAGATGTGACTCTAAAACGTTTCACTATCTGTTTCCCTCAGAACCTCGCTGACCTTTCTCTTCATCTTTCACCCCAACACACTCACTACCACGCGCGCGCACACACACACACTAACACACACTAACACACACACGTTGTGCAGCACGCATTTAGTAATGAATCAAATGTGTTTTAGCGCACAAGCTTATCCCTCTCCTGCGTCCCCTGATGTGCACCCTTATATACTGTAGCTACACATCCATCAGCACATATACATTCGCACAAACGCATTGACAGACCTCACATGTGAACCAACCTGTTCCCAAATGTCTGACTGACGCTTTTGAAATGACTCCAACCTTCAGCGTTTTGCTTTCTGCTTATTTTCTCTTTAACCCTTCTCTCGCTCCAGGTGTGGGTGCAACACCAAAAACGTCGCAAAAGCCCGGAAAACTGCGGTTAAAATGCATCACTAATGACTGCTAAGTTGTGCGTACAGGTGAATTAGAGGGTGTTGTGATTTGAGCAAATAGCTTATGGAATGACAGTAAAAGAACGTGCAGCACTTGGCAAGTCGTAGCTCGACTTGCACGTTTTCCTGTAATTGGCTTTTAGATTGGAGTTTGAGGGTTTGCACTCCTCGACTTCTGTCAGCTGATCTCCCTAAAGCTAAAGCTAGAAGCAAGTCGATCGTACAGTCGAAGCAACGAGGACGCACAAACGCATGTGCAGAAGCATCTGGACACATAACTTCGGAGCTTCGACCAATCTTACTAATGCTCCAGTCAATTTTCAGTTGGAGGCACTTAACCTCTGGACCTCAGCTGTCAGCGCTTGTTAAGCCATTATGAGTTCCTCCGTACCAGCCTTCCACTAAGCTGGGCCTAATACAACCCGGGCCACGGACCTTGAGCTGCCGCTGCTGCTGCTGCTGCTGCTGCTGCTGTGGGAACACTGGTGGCAAATGACAAACAACTAATGCTTTCCCAAACAGCGCTGAATCATCATCTCTTTATGAGGCCAGAGGAAGAGACGCACAGACACGGGAGAAAAGAGTGATGCGAGTGTGAGGTGAAGGGAGAGGAAGAGTGTGTGTTGGTGGGGGGTGGGGGGGCTGTATCAATATTGCATGCGCTGAGCCAGCAGAGGATGCATACCCATCAGCGGGAGCAGCTGTCATGTATCAGTGATGCAGCCTGCTCCTAAACTAGGACCTTGACAAGCCTGCAGCCCTGACCGACCATGTCCTGTCAGATAGAAGACACTGGAAAAAATATATTCCCTCCGTGGGTCTGCATGGCCTCAAGGGGGATGAGCGATTCATCAGGGAGATCGTGACCTGTGACTCCCTTAAATCTATGCTGTTTACTTCTGTTCCCTCTTGGCCTGATCTTGGTACAGTGAAATCCTCATCAGTTAACACGGTTATTTCTTTATTGGTGAGCGCCTCCACAGAGGCCACTCTGACATTGTTATTGTACTGCTGTCTGTAGAGCCACATGTAAGTGAGAAGGGTGGAACTACAGATCCAGCAACTGGAGCTATAGAGTAACAACCTGAATAAGCTGCTGCATACATATCCAGGACAGGTGCAAGGACAGGGCTCTTACTTTTAAAATGAAATGATCACTGACAGATCAGGAACAGGTAGCCCATCAAAAGCACATTAAACACATGAAATGTAAACTAAGGGAATAAATGTCTCTTAGAAGCTTAAAAATTTATAGAGATTTTTTCTGTAAGTTACCTTTTTTGAGTGATGGGTTCTTAAGATAAAGATAAACTTTGTCCTCTTTTCCCTCTGCCTGTGTGGATGCGCAATTGCGCAGGTGTCGCAACAGGAAGCGTGACAGGAAGGATTTATCCAAGTAAAGTTTATGGCAAACATTTAACGCACACTTTGATTACGCAAGAGGCTACTCACCACTCCAAGCAACACTGCTACGAAAGCGGGATTCATCCTGTAACTCCGTCGCATCTTCCCACACGGTTGAACGACTGGATGCAGCGCAGGAGGATGCGGTTCTCAGTGGTTTCGAGGTGAAATGAACTCGACTGTCATTTCTGCGTCTTTTTTTTTTTTCTTTTTTTTTTTGCGCTGCTTTTTGGTTTTGTTGTGATAGAAGGAACTCTCCGGTTAACTCTTCCTCTAGCGAGTGTGTATCACAGCGGGAAGCACACTCAGTCCACGAGCTCCGGCTGCAGACAGAATCCAGTCAGTGGGGAAACTTGCTGAAATTGGCCCAATGGATGGTCGGGCTCTGTGCGCTTCTCTCCTACTGGGCTCATGTGACAGAAGCGCTCAGCTCAACGGCTTCAGGGAAGGAGCCATCTCCCTCTCCACGCCCACTGCACACACACACACACACACACACACTAACCTGCTCTCTCTATAGCAGCTTAAACCATGGTCTGAAAATGTTCTTGCTGAGTCAGACAAACCAACCTTCTTAAATTTTAATAATCGGACAAATTAAGTCTTGTATAATTCCTCCATTTGGCACATGGTTTACAAGCTGCACTGCCCCAAAAGTCTCACTACTACGAAGACAGCATAAAAAGAAATCTTCTGGCCTGAAAAACCCTTAAAATGGAGAGAGATCCATCAGATATATCAGATATCAGATAAAGGTGATGTTGTCTCCCTGAATCACTGAACTGAGGACGCACCGTTTGCCTGCACCTTTAACCCAGAAACCTGAGATCCCAACAGGTATCTACAGGTATACATCCACTGACATTTGCAATTACATGCGTGCAACAACTGAAATCTGAATACAACTAAAACTTGAATTAGGTCACGATGTTATCTTCTATTCCTGAATTCCCCCCATCACTGCACTTATTGTTAGTCCGAGGTCTGAGTTTGACACATAAAAACTGCATTGTGGCTCTAAAAATCCCACTTTAAATACTATTTATGTGAGTGAGTTAAGTGGGATCACAGGGCTGCTCTCATCAGAAACACTGCTGCCTTTATGCATAAGAAGAGGAAACCTACTGTTGGAGAAGGCCCTGACACCTGAGGCGAAATGTTGGCATGATGTAAACCGGGGCAGCACATCATGTTCTGCTCGGGTCATGACTATACATGTTACCTCGTTGGCTGTATGAGAGCGGGATGATTTAAAAGTGTGACAGGGGTGTTTGTGAGGTTTACAAGCGGATGTGTTACAATCTGTCATGTTTGTTCTTGGTCTCCATTAACGTCATTTCCCTGCAGCTAAGTAAAGGATCTCGCATATCTCGATCTCTGTTGCTTTTAATGGAGTTCACTGCAATTGTTGTGATGCAGCCAAAACACTTGATATGCTGAAGGGCACTGAACTAGTTGGTGCTTATACTGGCATAATAATAAACTCCATTATGGAGTATTAGTTCACTGCCTGTCACAGTGTTCTTTAAAGAGTAGTGCAACTCTTGCCATGTCATGTTTTGTTTGTTAGCTAGCTAACCTTGAAGCACAGGTGAAGCACAGTAGGTTAGAGTTGAGTATATTTTTTGGGAGTAAAGTATTGAGCTACACAAAGGTTTCCCAGATTCCCACAGCTGAAGTTCTCATGTTTTTTACTCTGTTTTATTCTAAAAGCTTCTCACGATGGTCTCCTCTGGAAAAGTCTTTAGACCTCTTTGATCTTTATGTGTATATTGATGTACCTGTGTTTTTACGATTTGAGATGAACCTCTCTTCCTCCGACGCATCTAAATGAGTGAGCCGTATACACTGTATACAATGTCTGAGGGCAGTGGGGGACGTGGGGGCAGCAGATGAAGAGAAAGAGGAAGCTGGGTTGCTATGGGTGGATAAATAATGCATGAAGGCAGAGAGAGAAAGAGAGAGAGAGAGAGAGAAGCAGACAGACAGGAAAAAATAAATCCATTTCAAAGTCACTTATATGGGGCAAAATAAATGAATCCAATTTTCGATGTGGCTGGTGTAATTCATTAAAGAGAGTCACTGACAATTTTACCAGAAATCCTCTTTGCTTTTTGAGGAGCACTTATACGGCGACAGCACATCCTGGATAAGAATACCTCAGACAAGCACTTTAACGGGAAAACAGATCTGTCTCTTCTGTTGGCCACGACAGACACAGGATGACACATTCAACAGGAGACTATAATAGTGTCACAAATGGTTATATTACTTTTTTGGATCAATAATTTAATTTCTGTGTTTTTTAAGAGAAGAGAGTAGAGAGTAACTCATTTTAAAAATCTTTTGCTTTGGGAATTTGTCAAATCTGAAAATTAAAGAAAATAATAAAGCAAAAAAATCAAATTATTTGCATGTGGATCACCGTTAAACTGTCCAACCAATGATTTTTAATGCTCCTTTCCTGTTAAATGTCTATAATATTACATGAGTATGATAAGAGGTTATAAGGAACTGAAACAGCAAACCAAGCAGGTGATTCACTTTATTTCTGGAACAGTTTCTGTTCAGTGAAGTCAAAAAGAGGAAAGAGCATTTTTTCATTTTCACTTCATTTCATTTAAAAAGAAAAATTGCATCCACCTTGTTACATGCACACACACACACACACACACACACACACACACACACACACACACACACACTGACAATCTGTCACCAGTGAGTGGACAGAGGATGGGTGGTCCAGGGGACGTTCACTGTCCCATCTCAGGTTCCGAGAAGAGGATTCAGTTCCAGGTGGTCGGTCCTGTGGAAAAAAGTGTGTGTGTGTGTGTGTGTGTGTGTGTGTGTGTGTGTGTGTGTGTGTGTGTGTGTGTGTTCTACACCAGCCTGAGTCTTGGTAGGCTTGCCACGTTTTTCTATGCCCCGTTTACATTTTATGTTTATGTCTCCCGTGCACATGTGTATACCTAACATTGTTCTCAATGGGAGAAGGAGACCACCTGTCACACGTGCACAGCAGCGACAGAGGAGGAGGAGAAACAACACTGGCAATGTGATCCACAGTCTTCTTGCGAGCTCTCCCTCTAATGTACTGTAATAGATGAAGAGGCATCACATGATGAGCCGAGGAAGCCCTTAAATTACTCTGAGAGAGCACTCACACCAATAACTGGCATGAGAGTGATATCATGTGTTTAGAGAAAACCTTTAGAGCACTGCAGTGCAGGCGGTGTGCTAATGTTACGTAGTATATCTGGAAAACAACTTAAGAAAAGTCTCTATGAAAAACAAACCACCATCATTAAGCACAGTAAAGGTTTGGGCTGGTTATTCGATATGAATGTCAGTAATTTCAGTGTGTGTGTGCTGTGGGGATGAAATGACTTCTTTTTTTTTTTTTGAACCTCGGACAGGCCAGATGGCAACACACCCCACTTCTTCCCATGGGACTCTCTCATCTGCGCTTTATTGATCTGATCTATCTGATCTCCTTTTCTCTCCTCCTCCTCTCCAGCCTCTCTTCACTAGCTGCCCCGTCTCTGAGTAACATCTTTCAAGTTTCTTGATTCATTATTTGAATCTGATGAAGAATCTGAGACTGATTTTCAAACTGACATTTAACTCAACTGGCTACACACACACACTCACACACACACACACACACACACACACAGACTCACACTCACACACACACACACACTCACACTCACACATACACACACATAAGAGCTTTACTCACTTTCCTCCCAAAGCTCAAAATGAATGAGTGAGTGAATGAGTGAAGGAATGAATGTGCCGCCTGTGTTTGAGTGAGAACTTGTGACATGACCCTTCAACTATGACCTGACCTGAACCCTGAGACGACGCCGGCAGCAGTTGCACAGTGTCGAAGTCATGACAAAGGTGTGTGTGCGTGCGTGCGTGTGTGCGTACGTACGTGTGCACAGATATTCTCTGTGCCTCCATGCAGCACGATGTCCATGCAATTACATTTGTGTAAAACATGTTTGTTCGTAAACCCTGAATCAATAATAAAAGTGCTGAAGAGAGCAGAGGAGAAGAAAGCAGACACTGAAGGGACTTCTTCTTTTTCTTCCTTTTTTTTTCTTGTGAGGGGTGGGGGTGAACAGGCATTTGTATTGATCAGATTTGGCCAGACAATGTACACAATTTTAACACACTGGGGTAAAAAATGAGCCTCAGGCCGTTGACTGTCAATGCAGGTCTTTATGCGCTCAGTGACACACAGATATGGTTGATATCAAACAAATATAGACACACACAGTAACCTACTGAAATTCAGACACACAGTCACAGAGGCACAGGATGGCCTGTGTTGTACTGTAGCTCTGTAAAAGCTGACCCAGTGAAACTACACATCTGAGAAGTAAATTCATTTTATGGTAGAAATCTCACATCAAAGTCGTAGAAAATAACTTTGACTCTGAAAATCTTACGGTAACAAACTGAGCCCATGATCTCAACTTTGCTTTCAGTCACAGTTTCAAATATAGTCACCTTCATAAACGTATCGCTTGCTGCAGCAAAGCGGGGTTTTTTTTTTCTTCTGTGTTTTACCATCGTGTACTATCATAGAGTATATCCTGCGTAATGAGGTCAAAAGTGTTGAGCAGTATATATATATATGTTACTTCAGATGCAGATGTGGTTCACTTCTGTTTCTAGGATATACTCTTCTCAAAAATGCAGCTTTTCTTGTTTCAGGACGGTGCCAGAGTTTGTGTCCAGCTGACCGAACTGTCTCCAGTGCAGGCAACAAAATGACCTGAACGTCTGGGTGCAAAGTTGACATTCAAGGAAATAAAAAGGTGAAATGAAACAAACACAGACAAACTAGTACATCCTTCATACATATCTTCATATCACTATTACTAGTAATAGTTTAACGCCTCAACTGGATCCCCCGTAAATAAATAAATCAGTAACATGTTTGCCTTTTGGGAGGTAAGACGAATTCACTCATTTTATCAGACTTGTTCATTTGTAAAAGTTCATGACAGACAAAAATGTCTGCCTTATACTTTTATCCTTCGACAGTATACGTTGTGTTTATGGACAAGGCACTACAGTACCACACTACTAAGACAATGCTGCCCCCTGCTGAGCTGCAGACTATCATCCTGTAGAGAGCGCTGCTGTTCACAAACACATATCTATACAACAGGACATATGAAATCCTACCGTTACAGATTATGTTCTTTTTCAAAGAATATCTGCATCTACAGCACATTTTTTGATCTTTTGTCAATATATTTTTCTCTAAACAACAAAAGTCATATTGTGTGAGTGGACAGTAATATGTATGTGTATTGTGTCTTTGCTCTAAAGAGACAATAAAAACATGTAAATAAAGGCACAACCTTCCATAAGCTACTA